TCATGCTTCGCCGTCAACTCCGGTTGAAATGTATCGTCAAGTACGTAATTTGGGTAGCAGCGTGAACGTGGTAGGTAATGATGGAGGCAAAGAAGCACAACAGTTTTGAGATGTAAACGAATGGCATAGTTGTAAGGTTGCTCGTAAAAGGGGTTAGGGCGCGGGTTTGATGGCAGCATCAGCTCGAGTCTTGAATTCCATCAACAACTTAACACTTTCGGTGGAAAGTTTGCCTTCAGCGATTAGAGTTGTCACGGCATTGGAACGGCATTGGTACAACCTCGTCCATAAGTCGACGCTGTTAGCGACATTAACGCAATGTTCGTAAGAATCCATGCACTGGACCTTAGCAATAGCCATTTCTTCGTCACCTACCGCCGTCACAGCGTACTCCAACACGTCCTTGACGTAATACCGCCATTCGGGGGCAAGCTCCACTGTCTTCAAGAACTTGGCAGTCATATCCGACAGATAGTTCCGGCGCTGCTTTCGCTGTGCAAGTGGTTTCTTCAAGAAGACCGACTTAGCATTGGCCAGCGCGGGCTGAATCTCGGCCTGGTTAATTAGATGGATGGGGATCCAGCAGGGTCTCCAAGCCACACGGATTAGCTCGCGCACCTCGCCTTCGTGGACGGCAAGTACGGCATTGTTAATGCCAGCAACCAACCAAACAAACTCCTTGAAAACTTGTTTCCTACTCATGACGTCGTTGTAAGCCACAACGGAAGCTTCTTCGGCGGCTCCAGTCGCCGATGGCTTCAGCCAGTCCTTCTCCGGCCACAAGGCTTTGGTGGCTGGTGGAATGAACCAGCCAGGGGGCGGCACCAACCGTCCCGAAGACCGCTCGAAGCAGAGAGGAGTCGCCAGAGCCTCTCCAGCGAACTCTGGGCAGTCGTCACGTGAGGCGTCGGCTAAGACAACCTCAGGGATATCGCCCGGCTCAGCTGTCGAGGTTGGGCTCGACTCCCCGTCTTCGCGGGCCTTCTTGGTGCGGGTTACATGGCGTCGCACCCTCTTCCTTGGTATCCTGGCGTCGTCAAAGCTTGACTCTGAGTCCAGGTCGTCCACCACGATTGTGGCGGGGGACTGGTCTTGGGACTTACGGGCAACTCGGATGGTCATTGGTCGTCGGGGGTCGTCAGTTATTTATTTGCAAAAAAAGTAAAAAGACAAAGAGACACAACAGGGTGTGTGCGAGAGTGTGTGCGGAGCC